GGGATGCGGGAGCGGGGTGTTGCGGGAGCGTGGGGGATGCTGGAGCTGGGCGATGCTGAAGCTGGGGGATGCTGGAGCCTGGGGGTGCTGGAGCCTGGGGGTGCTGGAGCTGGGGGATGCTGGAGCCTGGGGGATGCTGGAGATGGGGGTGTTGAAGCCAGGGGGATGCTGGAGCTGTGGTGCAGGAACTTGCTGCCCTGGAGAAGCAGGCAGCTTTAAGCCCTAGTTTCATCACACATGACAAAACAGGGAGGAAAGACACCTCCAAGCTTGCATTGAGCTGCGGGATCTCAGCATTGCCCCGGCCAAGGTCCCCTCAGTGGGTTATTCAAAGGGGCAGCAGGTAACCCATCACCTCCTCCCTAAGCTACTGGGCCCAAACTGGGCCCAAACTGGGCTGTTTCTCCTATGGGATAGCCTTAAGAGAAGCAACCCTACAATAATAAGCGAGGCTCTGTGTCCTGGGATGCCCGCAGCCCTGCAGCGGCAAACTTGCAACCAAACTGCAGCCATAGCCCATTGCTCACTGTTCAACCCCAAAATGAAAGAGAAGGAGGTTGGTAGGGTCTCTAGTAAGGGGCTGGATGTGGAGATGGGTTCTTTGTAAGTTTTAAGATGGGTAAAAATAGTTTTTTTTAGAGATGGGGTTCCTGGAGCAAGTTGAAGGGGAAAGGTGAGGGGTTTTGGGGGGGGTTTCTCGGTGCACGGTGAGACCCGGCTGGTTTCATGCCTGAAAGTCACCCCTTGGCCTCTCTCTGCCCTTTAGACGACTACAAGGAGTTCGGCGTCAACTGCGAGAAGATGGCATCGGAGATCGAAGACCATATCCTTTGCGGGGGGGCGGAGACTGGGGGTCCCCAGGCTCCATCTCCTGGGGGGGACACACACACGCGGGCTCAAGAGTGGTGGTGGGGACAAGGAGAGAGGGTGGCAGGGACAAGAACAGAGGGTGACGGGTTCTGCTGTCCCCGTTGCCTGCAGAGGGAGCCCAGACCCCGGTTAGAGGCTGATGCTGATCCTGATGCTGAGCAGAGCATCCCTTGGGCACTTGGGTCCGGGGGTCTGTGTGTCCATCCCCCCCCCCCCCCAACCACACTTTCCCCCCCCCCCTCACCTCTCTGCTCGGGGACCTGCCTTCATCCTTGGGGAAATAAAACCCAAACCCAGCCAAGGTCTCTTTGCTGAGCCTACTGTGGGTGCCCGTGTCTCTTGCCAGCCCCGGTCCATCGCAGTCCTCAGGCTGTGCCACACTGGCAGGGACGGAGCCACCTCCATTCACCCCCAGCTCAAGGCTTGGGGGGGTCTCCTGGTGGCCCCCCAAGACCGGGACCAGCCCCGAGGATGTTCCCCCTCCTGGGTACGCTGTGATTTTTGGTGCCTCCCACGCTCTGGCCATGTGTGCCTGCAGCCTGGTGGGACCCCCGAAGCTGGCACCTCAGTCCATCCGGTGACTTTTTGGCCAGCCTGGGAGGAGGAGAGCGGGCTGAGCCCTCCGCACCACGAACTCACGTCCCAGCACAGGACTTGGTCACGGTCCCTGTGCCCCAACCGCCTTTGGGTGTCCCAGCAGGGAAACGCAAAGTTGGTTTCCTCCCCACATCCCAAGTTGTGTTTCATCCTACTGAGCCCAGGGAGGGTGAGACCCCCACACACATGGTCCCCGCGGGACCTGTCGGGATCGGCCACCTCCACGTGCACGCGGGCACTGGCCCTGGTGACAATCAGCACCACTGAGTCCGGAGCAGCAGTGGGTCCCCATGGGACTGGCATCCCCTCACCTTGTCCCCTTGATTCCTTGACGGACCCCCCTCCGCCTCAACATATCTTCCAGGAGCTGAAGAGCACGGACATGAAGTATCGCAACCGGGTGCGGAGCAGGATCAGCAACCTGAAGGACCCCAAGAACCCCAACCTGCGGAGGAACGTGCTGTGTGGGGCCATCCTGCCCAGTCTCATCGCCCGCATGACTGCCGAGGTGGGCAGCAGGGCGGGATGGGGGGGCACGGGGCTGGCTCTTGCGGACCACATCCATGCTACCTCCGAGGGGTTGAGACACACATCCCCTCCGCCTCCGTTCCTGGTGCCCAAGGGCTGGCTGGGTCTTGGCTTGGTGGTGTCCACACCGGACTTGGCCCAGCGTCTCCCCATCCCACCTTGGTGCTGGCTGGGGCATGGGGAGCATCAGAGCCGGGGTGCATCAGCAGGGGGGGGGTGGCAGCTAAAAAAGATCTGGGCGCTGCCTGGACCCCCCTCCTGAGACCTGTAAACCCCCCCCCA